ACCACACTAGGTATTAGAGCCCAATGTGGTCAGTTTTGTGGCTGTGCTGTTAACAATGATCAGACATGTGCTGACATGTTCCCTGCACAGACCTTCCCTGGGAAGACCATTGTGTTGCTGTTTCTCCTCCCCTTGTTCTCTGAGCTCTTTATGCAGCTGAGAACAGAGGGTATGTGATCACTTATTAAAAAGGGGAAAAGAAAGGAATGTATAATGATTTTTATATGTATACACAAGTGTTTTGCCTTTCATTTCTGTTTTAAACTGAAGAGGTTATTTTACAAGGTGAGGGTTCACAAATACAGTGCTCAGCATAAATGAGTACAAACTTTCGAAAAGATTTTGATCAATATCTCAATAAACACAAGAAAACAATTTCAAAAAAGTTTGACAAACCTAAGTTTTATAGAACATTTGTTTAGCTTATTACATGAAAGTGATTGTAAAAGGCTCAAGGTAAAAAAACCTGTGTGCAGCAGTGCCCCCAGTCCCAATACTTACCTGAGCCCCATCGCGATCCAACGATGTGCACAACAACCTTAGCTGTCCTGGGTCTCTGCCTCCTCATTGGCTGAGACAGCAAGCGGGAGCCACTGGTTATTGCTGCTGTCAATCACAGCCAGTCAGCAAATGGAGAGAGGGGGTGGGGCCAAACTGCAGCTCCGTGTGTGAATGGACACACAAAGCAGCGATTTAGGAACATGTCTGCTTGGGTGCCCCCACAGCAAGCTGCTTGCAATATGGGCACCTGACAGAAAGGAGGAGCAAGGAGAGCCAGCAGGGGACCCGAGAAGAGGAAGATCCAGGCTGCACTGCGCAAAACCATAATACAGGGATAAGTATCCCCATACTATCTGTAAGATATTAAAAACAGCGTGGCCATGCGGGGCTCCGCCCACACCGCATTATTCATTTACAAACTTCTGTGAACAAATGAACTGCAAGTCCCAACAACCTTAGCGGCTGTGGAACACTGTGGTAGTTCATTCAAGCTTCCTGTCAGAATATCTGCTTGGCCGTACATCCAATACGGCAAACAGATATTCTGACAAGTCTGCAAGAGAAATGCATGGCATCAGTGTTTTTGTTGTGGGGTGTTTTGCATCAACTAACTTGAGTAAAACTGAAGCGTTTATAATCAGTAGATACTGATCACTGGTGCAATGCTTTTCAGGCTTCTGCAGACAAAAATAATGAAATGTACATATTTTACCTGCAAAAAAGTGCATTTATTATTTTTGTCCAAAAGGTGAACTTTTCCTTTAACACGTTTGTTATTAAAAAAAAAAAGAAAAAAACCCCCCGAACCATTAGTATCGCTGTAATAATATGACAGATTACAAACGTTTCAGTTTTACTCGTTCGTTGATGCAAAACACCCCACAACAAAAACTACTACATCTAGTATTTTGTATGACCTCCATGATTTTTTAAGGACAGCACCAAGTCTTCTAGTCATAAAATGAACAAATTGGCAACATATTGCAACAATATCTTTTTCCATTCTGCAAGAACGACTTCTTTTAGAGTCTGGATGCTGGATGGAGAGTGATGCTCAACTTGTTTCAGAATTCCCCACAGGGGTTCAGATCAGGAGACATACAGTATTTGGGCATGGAATCACTTTCACCCTGTTCTTCTTCAGAAATGCAACAGTGGCCTTAGATGTGTGTTTTGGATCACTGTCATGTTGGAAAAGTGCATGACGACCAAGGGCACAGAGTGATGATAGCATCTTCTCTTTCTTTTACAAAGAATTTTATTATAGAATAGATAGGAGCAAAGAATCAGTCAACAATTGCATTGACCAACAGGAATAAGACATACAAGGGATTCGATGAATCTTTCAGAATATGTACTGGTGGAGAGACATAGAATTAAACTGTATACTTAAGTGCCATGTATTAGAAAAAAAAAAAAAAAAAGAGAAAACAATGAGTAAACAATTAAAGACCAATGACAATATAAATTCTAAGGAAACATTGTCACTATATCAGCATACAAAAAGCAGAGAAGATATAAAATGGAGCCTCTCCAAATGAAGATAAGTATTCCACATGTAGGGCTCTCGAAGGAGTCCAGCATGAGGATTTAGTATTGCGGATGTAGCACTCAAAGCACTAATCACAATGAGTACAGATAGTATAAAACAGATTAGACAAAAGAAAAGAGGGACGAAGAGTAAGGAGACAAGGACAAAAACAAAAAGGGCTCTAGGGCAATCGCAACAGAAAAAAAAAGAAAAATAAACTAATACGTAAATTTTATATCGACAGAAGGGACTGGTCGAATCTCGATGGTTGGGCTATATCAAGCCAGTGACACCATGTCTGCAGGAATTTAGTGTGGGTAATCAACAGTATAGCCGTCAGTTTTTCGTTAACCATTACTAAGTTCATCGTTTTTTTTGACAGCTTCGAAGCGGAGGAAGGGAGTCTTCCAGGCCCTCGCGATTTTCAGCTTGGTGGCCATAAATAGGTGTGATGCCAGCTGCCGTTCAGGGCGGAGTAGGCCCACTAATGGTTTAAATAAAAGCGCTTCATACGGGTTGCGCGTAATGTCTGTGTGAAACATAGTGCGGAGGAGGGCATAAACTCTGATCCACAATCTACAAACATTAGGGCAAGTCCACCAGATGTGAACCATAGTACCCACCTGTTGACAGCCCCGAAAACAAGTCGGAGAATATGTAGGGATAAAACGAGCCAGACGAGCAGGCGTGTAATACCATCGATAAAGAACCTTATAGGCATTTTCTAAAATGATAACATTTCTAGAACATATAGAGAACGCTTGGGTCATGGTTCGCCAATCCTGTTGATCCAAAGTGCCCCTGAATTCCGACTGCCAACGCTGATGTTAGGAACGGACCGGAGGAGTTCTATAAGAAATAATGGAAGAATAGACCAGAGAGATTAGGCCCAGAGCATGGGGTCTGTGTCTACATTGACTTTCAAAGGGGACAACCTGTAGGGTCCTGAGTGCGTCCATATTAATGTATTAATTAGGCCCAGAGCATGGGTTCTGTGTCTACATTGACTTTCAAAGGGGGACAACCTGTAGGGTCCCGAGTGCGTCCATATTAGTGTATTAATAAAGTGGCGGAGTTGAAGATAGCCAAAATGTTCCCGCAATGGGATATCATGAGAGGAGTGCAGAGTTTCAAAGGTGAGTATTCTAGTGGGAGAAAGCAGTGAATGAACATCATGGAAACCATTTGCTTGCCACCAGGCAAACTGTCCAGGATTATCACGACCTGGGGGGAATGGGTTATGTAGCAAACGTAGTAGCGGTAGGTGGGCAGAGATAAGGCCAGCGGAATATTTATTAGAATCCCAAAGACGAAGAGTTAGCGTCGGACTAAGGGATGAAGGTCGATGAGTAAAAGGAAGCCACGGCAAAGAAGAGAGTGGTATCGGGTGGGAGTCCATCAAGTCTACAGTAGCCCACAAGGGGAAATGGTGAGATGCATGGAGATGGGCTAAGGGGGCAATATTGGCAGTGTCAAGGTCCTACCTTTCCTCAGGGCTTGTGCTGCTCCATGTGCTGGCATCCATCTTAGGTGTCTGCAAAGCATTGCGGGATCCTTTATGCTTTCAGCCCTCTGCGGCTCCTCCCCCAGGAGGTGGCGGCTTATCACATATAAGTCTGCTGTTTGTAGCTGTCCATTGCATTCGTGTCCGGTCTCTTGCACAGCAACAAGTTCCTGTTTAGCTACTCATTGCTTTCCTGGATACCGACTCGGCTTTGGCTAAGACTCCTTCTGGCTTCTGACCCCCGGGCTCTGGCGACAATTCTTCCTGGCTTCTGATCCCGGCTCTGGTGACGATTCTTCCTGGCTCCTGATCCCGGCTCTGGCGATGATTCTTCCTGGCTCTTGATCCCGGCTTTGGCTACGATTTCCACTGTTGGACTTTTATAGACTCTTGTCTTATTTTTATATTAATAAACCTACCTTTAATTGCACCTCCTTGTGTGTCTGGCTCCTCGCTCCCTGACACTGCACGAATACCATGAATCCTGACGGTGCAGGTATGCCCTCGCTCTCTATGTTGGTTGCCAGACTTGATCAACAGGATCTCTTGTTGGATCAGTTCGCTCAGGTGTTGCAGCGCTGCTTGCACGCACAGCGCACCTTACTCCTGGTGCTATTAGGCCGGTTGTCACTCCTGTGGTCTCTCCCGCTGTTGCTCCAGTTGTTGTGCCTACCTCTGCATCTGCTGCCGCACCTGCGGTGCCCAGAGGTATGACTGGTTCAGCCCCCCTTCCACAGCGCTTTGGGGGTGAGCCGAGTCAGTGTAGGGGTTTCTTTAACCAAGTGGGCATATATTTTGAATTGATACCCCACGCTTTTCCTACGGAGAGGTCAATGGTGGGCTTCCTAATATCGCTGCTCTCGGACAAGGCCTTGGCCTGGGCAAATCCCTTATGGGAGAACGATAACCCTGTGATTCATGAGTTTGCCGGTTTTGTTGCTTCCTGCCGTACGGTATTTGATGTGCCTGCTCGCTCCGCCTCTGCTGTAAGCTGCTCATGTCCATGCATCAGGGTTCACGAACCGTTGTGGAGTACGCCATAGAATTTCGTACCCTGGCGGCAGAGGTGAGTTGGAACAATGAAGCTCTGGTGGCTGCTTTCTCTCATGGTCTCTCAGATGCGTTGAAGGACGAGATTGCAGCCAAAGAACTGCCTGTGGAGCTCGAAGCACTCATTTCCTTCCTAATCCTGATTGACACCAGGCTCAGGGAGAGGCCTTCATTTAAGGAGCGTCTGTGGAGGCCTCCTAACAGATTGGCGCCTACATTTTCTGTCCCACCCGTTCCTCCCTCTCCTCCCATGCCTCCTGGGGATGGCTTGTCTGGCGGTGAGCCCATGCAGCTGGGGTTTGCTCGCCTTTCCGAGGGGGAGCGGGCCTCTCGGCGTCAGGAGGGTCGCTGCCTATACTGTGGTCATGGTGGGCATTTTCGGCAGTCCTGTCCGGTCCGTCTCGCACCCGAGATCCTGTCGGGCAGATCTTGGGTGGAGTTTCCTCATCCCCGGTTTCCCGCAAAGATAAACCGCTAATCACTGTTGTCCTCTCTTGGGCGGAAGGCTCGGCGACGGCCCAGGCGTTGGTAGACTCTGGTGCTGGCGGGTTGTTTATGGACAGTTCGTTTGCTGCCCAGTACTCCATTCCTCTGCAGGCTCGAGTTACTCCATTGGTCCTCGAGGCAATAGATGGCAGGCCCCTGCAACCACCGCAGGTTATTGGTCTTGGTCCTGACGAAGCTGAGTGAGATACGCCCATCAACGAAACGTGTTGACGTCATACGTCAGATACGTCACTTCCGGTCATGCGCACTAGGTGATACGCACGCCGACCTACAAGGAGGTAGCCATTTTCACATGCCATGAGTCATGCAAAGGCTGTACAGGCGCCATGGAGAGGTCGGAACCCGCGAAATGTCGGCTGATGTAAGCGGTGGTTCCCTGGATCAACACGGCAGTACCTATGAAGGATTTCTCTTCCTTTTTCTACTACCCATTGCACAGGTGGTGAGTGGACTGTTACAGGACATCCGGAAAAAAGGTTCCTTGCGATTTATATGACAATATACGTCTACCATAGAGTGAAAGCTCTTACAGTGACTATCCTTATATTGTTTGTCTTATTACAGGATGGGGACATTATGGTGCTTTACATAGAAACAAGGCATGCCACATATATTGCAACAGGCGGAAGATCCATTGGGCCTCATCTTGTTTCCAACAAAAAAGTGGTTTGCAGTCCACATGCTGTGGTGAAGAAACCATTTAAAGCAGATTTCTGCTACCTGCATCTATCTTTCCATCAAGGCAACAACAGGGACTCTTTCCATTATAAGAATCCTCATTAACCATTCACGTTTATTACAGATTAATGGGCCCCAACCACGTGTGCTGGTATAGAGTTGTACTGCATTATTTATGTTTTACCCATATATTGCCTATCATAGGCTTAGGGTCATGCCTCTCTTTTGACGATTACTGTGCTCGCTGCTCTGCATGCATGTGATATGATATACCCTTGGTATAATTTTTGGAAATTCCCCTGTATGGGGTGTAAACTATATGGTTATGATATATGCCTATGTACATATAGCATGTGATACTGTATACCTATGGTATAATTTTTTTGTATATACCTCCTTTAGGAAGTGTTACCTATGTGCCAGTGCTGCAAGGGCTTTAGACTATAGTGGTCATAGCCTTTGTAGCACACTTATCCAGACCGGTCTTGGTGTGATTTTATATGGTTTTAGGTCTGTGTGTATTGTCTCATACTGAGGTGATGGTAAACCAGGGCGATTGCCCATATGTCAATTATTAATGTTTAATAAAGCATAATTTTTTGGAAACTTTTCTGAGTATCACATTCTGTTCATAATGTAGCCGCTTCTTTGTGAATCCCTTTTCACAAACTTCCTTTTTTCTGAATAGATGGCAGGCCCCTGCAACCACCGCAGGTTACCCACGAGACCCTGCCGGTTGAAGTAGCTACTTCACAGGGAGTTGGCCTGTTTCCAGGATTTCTTCCACGCACTACTCTGTGGTTTTGGGATATCCCGCTTCAGAAGCACAATCCGACCTTTGATTGGTGGTCGGCCGAGATTCTCTCATGGTCTCCACAGTTTGGGGCCGGTTGCATCCGCGGACCTGTTAAGGTGTTGTGTGCCTCCTCAGACTCTGTGTTGCCCACTGACTATGGGGAGTACCTGGACGTGTTTGACAAGGTGCGTGCCGGTGCTCTGCCTCCTCATCGTCCATACGATTGTGCCAACCTTACAACCGCGTGGCAGGGTGTATCCTCTTTTGCTTGCGGAGAATCAGGCCGAGGAGTACGTTGCGGATGAGCTTTCCCGGGGGCACATTTGCAAGTCTACTTCTCCAGCAGGAGCTGGCTTTTTCTTCGTGAAAAAGAAGGGCGGTGAATTGAGGCCTTGCATTGATTTTAGGGGTCTCAATCGAATCACGATTAAGAACGCTTACCCAATTCCGTTGATTACGAGTTGTTCGACCGCCTCAAGGGAGCAACGGTCTTTACTAAAACTCGACCTTAGGGATGCGTACAACCTTGTACGGATCAAGGAGGGCGACGAGTGGAAGACCGCGTTCAACACCAGAACCGGCCACTATGAATCCCTGGTTATGCCCTTCGGGTTGTGTAACACGCCCGCTGTCTTTCAGGAGTTCATTAATGATGTCTTTCATGACTTGTTGCAGCAGTTCGTGGTGGTTTACTTGGATGACATCCTGGTTTACTCTGCGTCTATGGAGTCTCATATCCAGAATGCTGCTGAAACGGTTACGTGAGAACAAGCTTTTCTGTAAGCTCGAGAAGTGTGAATTTCACCGATCCCAGGTTGCCTTTTTGGGCTACATCATTTCCGCTGTGGGATTTCCATGGACCCTTAGAAGGTCTCAGCGGTTCTGCAGTGGCCTCCTCCCAGTGGTCTTTGGTCCATTCAGCGCTTTTTGGGATTCGCCAACTATTATCGGAAGTTTATCAGGAACTGGCCAAGCCTCTCTCAGATCTGACCAAGAAGGGCAGTAATCCCCACGAGTGGTCATCCGAGGCCATCTTAGCTTTCGAAGCTCTGAAATCCGCCTTCGCTTCGGCTCTGATACTGTCTCATCCCAATCCTGGGTTGCCCTTTGTCCTCGAGGTTGATGCATCTGAGACGGGAGTAGGCGCCCTCCTATCTCAGCATCGGTCGCCCGATGGACCCCTACTTCCCTGTGGGTTCTACTCCAGGAAGCTTTCCTCCGCAGAATGCAACTACCAGATTGGAGACAGGGAGTTGTTGGCCATTATTCAGGCTCTCAAGGAATGGAGGCACCTGCTCGAGGGGGTTCTGCGGTTCCGGTCCTCATTCTCACTGACCACAAGAACCTGACGTACCTCTCGGAAGCTAAGAGGTTGACGCCCCGTCAGGCCAGATGGGCTCTGTTCTTGTCGCATTTTTTACTATGTGGTCTCCTATTTGCCTGGCTCCAAGAATGTCAGGGCTGATGCCTTGTCGTGGCAATACTCTGAGCTGTCCAGGGAGGACTCTGAGCCGACCTCAGTCATACCTCCGGATCAGATCCTGGCTGCCATTCGTACCAGCCTGACTTCTCCCCTTGGGGAGCAGATTTTGGCGGCTCAAACTGATGCTCCCTCTGAGAGACCGGTTGGTAGATGTTTCGTACCTGAGGGATTGCGCACCCGCTTGCTGCGTACCTACCATAATTCCAAGACTGCCGGTCATCCAGGGAGGAACCAGTTGTCCTGGGTCGTTTCTTGTTTATTTCTGGTGGCCATCTCTCCGTTCCGACATCGCCTCATATGTAGCGGCATGTTCTGTCTGTGCCCAGAATAAATCTCCTCGGCATCTTCCATTGGGCCTTCTGCAACCCATTCCCAATGGGGAGCGTCCCTGGTCACACCTGGGCATGGATTTTATTGTAGACCTCCCTGCGTCTCGAGGCCATACGGTCATTCTTATGGTCATTGATCGTTTCTCCAAGATGTGCCATTGTGTTCAGTTCAAGAAATTGCTGACTGCGCAAGAACTGGCTACGGTTTTCGCCAGGGAGATCTTTCGTTTGCATGGGTTGCTTAAGGTGATTGTCTCGGACCGTGGGGGAGCCAGTTTGTGTCCAGGTTCTGGCGCGCCTTCTGCTCCCAGTTGGGTATCAAGCTCTCCTTCTCTTCGGCCTACCACCCGCAGTCCAATGGTTGCTATATCTCAGACCATCAAGACAAATGGGTCGATCTCCTGCCATGGGCAGAGTTTGCAAGGAACTCTGCTGTCAACTCCTCCTCCAGGATGTCTCCCTTCATGGCCAACTATGGGTTCCAACCCGCTGTATTGCGTGAGTTGTTCTCGCCACAGGACATTCCGGCTGTGGATAACCATCTTACTGCCCTGCGTTCCTCGTGGGGCAGATCCAGAGGTCCTTGAGGGACTTAGCTCAGCGCCAGAAGCTCCAGGCTGATCGTAGACGGTTGCCCGCTCCTTCATACCAGGTCGGAGATCGGGTGTGGTTGTCCACTCGTAACCTCAATCTTCGGGTGCCCGCACCGAAACTGGCTCCCCGTTTTGTTGGTCCGTTCTGCATCCTTCGCAGGGTGAACCCGGTTGCCTATGCCCCTGCTCTTCCTCCTAGGATGCGTATCTCCAAAGTCTTCCACGTATCCCTGTTGAAGCCTCTGGTCTGTAATCGCTTTACTGCCTCTCCGCCTCAGCCTCTTCCTATCCGGGTTGACGGTCATGAGGAGTACGAGGTGAGCCGCATCCTGGACTCCCGGTTGGTCTGCGGTCGGGTGCAGTTCCTGGTCCATTGGCGTGGTTATGGTCCCGAGGAGCGTTCCTGGGTTCCTTCCACGGATGTTCATGCTCCTGCCCTCCTCCGCGCTTTTCACGCCTGCTTTCCCCAGAAGCCTTATGTTGAGCCGCGGAGGGGGAGGGGTCCTTGAGGAGGAGGTACTGTCAAGGTCCTACCTTTCCTCAGGGCTTGTGCTGCTCCATGTGCTGGCATCCATCTTAGGTGTCTGCAAAGCATTGTGGGATCTATTATGCTTTCAGCCCTCTGTGGCTCCTCCCCCAGGAGGTGGCAGCTTATCACATATAAGTCTGCTGTTTGTAGCTGTCAATTGCATTCATGTTCTGTCTCTTGCACAGCAACAAGCTCCTGTTTAGCTACTCATTGCTTTCCTGGATACTGACTCGGCTTTGGCTAAGACTCCTCCTGGCTTCTGAACCCGGCTCTGGCGACCATTCTTCCTGGCTCCTGATCCCGGCTCTGGCGACGATTCTTCCTGGCTCTTGATCCCGGCTTTGGCTACGATTTCCGCTGTTGGACTTGCATAGACTCTTGTCTTATTTTTATCTGTCTTACGAGCAAATAAAATATGTTTACTAATTCTAGGTCGAGAAGAACTCCAAATGAAAGACAGAAGTTTTTGCTGATGAATACGCAATATATGCGTAGGAACAGAGACAGGTAAAACTCTAAATACATACAATAATTTGGGAAGATAGGTCATACGGATCGCATTGATTCTACCAAACCATGAAAGCGGGTAGTGAGACCAGGAGGACGGCAGTTCGGTCAGTTCATTAAAGACGGTGGGGAAAGTGGCCCGATAAAGTCCTTCTTAAGTCGGGGTGAGCTTAATTCCTAAATACGGCAGAGCCAAGAGCCATTGAAAAAGGGAACAAATGTTTCAAAGTAGCCAAAAGTGATGGTGAGAGAGTAGGGTGATTTGGCAGGGTTGACATGGAGACCTGAGAGAACTGCAAAGGAATCCAAAACTGCAAGTAAATTTGGCAAAGTAACCCCTGGGTTACAATATATCGTCAGCGAACAGAGATAACTTGTGCTTTGAGCCAGCTACATCTATTCCCTTAATATCAGGATGCATACAAATGGCTTCTGCCAAAGGTTCCAAGGCCAAGATAAATAGTATGGGAGAAAGTGGACACCCTTGTCTAGTTCCCCTGCCAATCGGGAACGTTGAGGACTCAAAACCATAATATTTGAGTTTTGATTGAGGGGATATATATATAGCGAAGAGATCCAATGTAAGAACGAGGGACCAAAGCCAAAACGGTGAAGGACCGACATAAGATAAGGCCAGGACAAAGTGTCAAAGGCCTTGTTGATATCTAGAGATAGGAGCATCATATCAATTTTGCGAGTATGAGCCAAATGTTGTAACTGTAAGATGCGTCTGATGGCATCTCCAGCTTGTCTGTGGGGGACAAAACCCACCTGGTCTTTTTTTATCAGACGAGAAAGGAAAGAATTCAAATGAGTGGCTAAGATCTTAGTGAGGATTTTCATATCAATGTTAATAAGAGAAATAGGCCTATAATTTGCCCAAGAGGAATGATCTTGATCCGGTAAAAAGTTTGGGGATTAAAAAAGAATGATCTTGATCAGGGGAAAAGTTCGAACCTCCCTTCACCGCATTGAACATAGCGACAAGGTGAGAGGCAAGCACATCAGCCGATTTCTTGTAGTATAAAGCCGTGTATCCATCTGGACCTGGGCGTTTGCTTGTCTTCAAATCTGTGATGCATTGCAGGACTTCTGATAATTGGATATCATGGTCCATCAGGTCTTTATGAGCCTGATTCAAAGTAGGCGAGGACAAATGGGATAAAAAGTCAGAAATAGACTGAGAGTCAGCCCGTGTAGGATCCGTATAAAGTCTGGCAAGTCTATGCCAGAATTCCTCCAATACCGCTACAGGATTACTTGTGAGAGCATTCTGATGAGTGTGTAGGGAAATCGGTTTGGGGTGATGTGCAAAAGAGCGTAATCTACGTGCCAACATGGAATCTGGTTTATTTGCTTTACTATACCACTTCTGGTATAGTAAAGCAAAGAACGCTCAGCCTCCTCTGTCAAACAAAGATCCAGTTCCAGGTGGGCCTGATCTAGCAATCTACGGTTCGATGGGGTAGGTACCTGCTTAAATTGAGCCGACGCGGAAGCTAGCTTTGATTCTAGCTGAAGCTGTTTAGGTTGTCTATTCCTCCTCCGCCTCGAAGTTATCTGAATAATATGGCCCCTAAGAACAGCCTTGTAAGCTTCCCATAAAGTTACCAAGAAGAGACAGAACCCAAGTTTAGGTGGAAATATTCTTGGGATTTGCGCTGTAGTTCCACCTGAATCTCCTTTAGCGAAAGTAGGGAGTCATTCATAATCCAAGAGTAGGCTGGCTTACAGAGGAGAG